GGAGGATGTGTTATCAATGTCACTTAATAAAGTGGTACGACATGCGGTGTTTACTGATCCACGTAATGGGTGAAAAAACCAAGAGTAGTTCAAATAAAACCTGGCATGAGTGTACGAAACCCTGATAAGCGTACGCGGTCATGTAGGCCGCGTAAGGCTTCCGGGATCAGGGTAATTGAACATTAGAGACACTGTTTGTTATGGCTGAGTGTCTTAAACAGTGGTTCTCATGCATTCAGTTAATTTATTTGCAGTCCTAATCTACCTGAATTATGTTTTCACGTGGACGCTGATTGAAGCATTCATATCCTCCGTCCGCTTCATCCAAATGGGTAGACGAAAGACAACAATCAAAACCGCTGCATGACAGTGCATGGTAAGTGATTGGATAAACCGGAACCGAGAACCGCAATTATCCCTTTGGTCTTACCGCATTTTAGGTTATCCCTCATTCTGAACTGCCACACTTGGAATCAATCATAGGGTAATATCATATAACCAAGTGATAAATTTGTTTCATTTTATTCTAGGCCTATCGATTATCGATCACGATCCAACGGAGCATTTGTGTGACCGCAGGCGCCCTCCCGAAAGTTGACCATAAATCTGCAGACAAAAAAGGAAGTGAAACATTGTCTGAAAACAACAGGGCCTTAGTTCTAACTGCTTTCTAAGTTTTATGCAACCCGGGCGACAGGCTAGCTTTCATATTTGCGTATACATTACAGTATGAGTTTGACTTTACTTCGGCAAGGGTACAATCATTGATGTTCTCTGCAATAAAAATTTGAATAAAGAACACAGCAGTACAGTGTTGCACAATTTGTTTCCCGAAAAATTTCGCTGTATCTCTTCAAGTAAACACTGCAATCAAAGAATATATGACACTAACAAAGTAACATTTAACACGGAAGAGTTATTGGTGTAATCTTCGTCTATAAATGCGATGGAAATGTTTATGATAACCAACAAAGAGCATTGGCACAGCCGTTTCGTTCTGTTTGGGACTCGTCAGCAGTGCGTACGTTTTGTGTCCCTGTCAGGACTCGAACCGCGATCAGTCGGGTCGGGACTTCAAACCCTTACCCATGAGCTACACCAACGACGGTTACCACCTTGTGCTCTTTGTTGGTTATCATAAATATTTCCATCGCATTTACATACACATTTACAAATAATGGGGAATTAACGATCTCTAAAGGAGTGAAACTCACACTGAAGACCATCAAGAATGCCCGGTGCCTCTGAACAATCGATTGGGCTCATCCAAGCTTGATAACCTAAATATTCGTCTATCTTACTACCAAGGTAGGGCTAGAGTTATAAATAGCTCTTTCTGCTTGCACAGTTCGGGCTTCCATTGTTTTATAGCAATCGCCTCTGCAAACTGCATCAACCGAGAGTTTTGTGAAGTTATAGTGGACAGATTTGATTACATCTGGAAAATAAAACTTCCAATCCCCTTATTTGATAAATTTGACAAGGTTAATTTTGCTGTGCAGAGAGAACATTTGCTTCGATTTTCACGGAAGATATTTCCGCCAAATCGATGGTGTAGCCATGGGAAGTCTTTCGGGTCCCATTCTGNCCATTCTGGCAGATATACTTATGATAAGCCTGGAGCAAAAGATCAGTGATAACCTCACCAGAAATGTTCTATGCAAACGATACGTGGACGACGTGTCGCTCATAGCAGACTCAAAGGCGGAGGCGTTGAACTTATTCCAAGATAAAGATAAAGTTGACAATGGAACATGAAAAAAATGATACCTTGTCTTTCCTGGATAGAAAATGCAACGGAGGATCGATGGAAGCCTTGGTCAATCTGTTCATCGGAAACACACGTGGACGAATCAATACCTATANACGAGCTTCGTCCTCATCCGTTACAAACGAGGGCTAGTAAGGACACTTTATGACCGTGTGAGAAAAAATTGTAGATGAAATGCTAAAACTGAATAGCACTGTCCCGGACAATGGTTACCCGAGCTCGTTCGTGAAAAGGCATAGCACTGCACGTCCGAAGGTAGAGCGACCGATATCCGTACCGAAGTATAAGGTTGACCTACGGCTACTGTTCAAGGGTGATGTGAGTAATTTATTGGAACATCACCTAAGCTCGTCCATCAAACGAACATTCCGTAGTAAATGTTACGTGTTACTTTTCATTGTATTCTTTGACTGTTTACTTGAAGAGATACAGCGAAATTTTTCGGGAAACAAATTGTGCAACACTGTGCTGCTGTGTTCTTTATTCAAATTGATATTGGGAGAAGGTTGATTTAATTTCCGCAATGAAAAATGCCAGAAGCCATGGTGTGTAAACAAAGACCTAGTTCTGTGTACCCTACCCTACCTGATTGGATCTTTTCGTTGTTTTGAACGTCCAGAGGTGAGGTCAGTTGCATAATCAGTCGAACAAACGCAGGGTCAAATATATGATTCCACCCAGATTCTGCACTTCCCTTACCAGCGGGGGTGCAAACTAACCCATAAGTGAAACGTGAAACAGTCATATCAATATGGCTTTCATAACAACCATGGTTTCAGTTTCCATTTGCAACAGCACCGATCATGTACTGTCGATGTACTGTTGCTGTCTCTTAGTTAACCGTTCAGTCGACCAATGAGGAAAAACACGTGAGCAGCCTCAGGTCATAAAATAGCAAAAAATACGGGAACCAGATCTGTGTAGAAAGTGAGTAGGTACATGTGTTTTCTTACAGTGAGTAGTGATGGTATATTCGGACAATTAGTTTATCCATTAGGTCCCCCAACCGGGAAGCCTAGTGACCGCGCCTCCTAATGAGGGTTTTCATGAACATGTGACAACTGCTAGACTGAACAACCGTGACCTTTCAGTGACTGTCTACCTCTACAAATATCACATGCTGGAGCGCTTCATACTTTCATTAATTTGTCCTCAAATCATTTGGTTAAACATGTGTGATTACACCGATAAAAACTCGCACAGAATCAAAATTGAACCGTGAAATTTACTGATCAAAATTTTTATCAAAAGTGTTATCCTTGCTACAAACCCCTGTTTAGACCAGCACCACCGATGAGTTGCCTTGAGAGGAAGAAAGACAAGTAAAACTCAAGTCTGGTCCACTTCCAAGTATTCGCTTAACTCTTGCTGTCGGTCTCCGTAAAAACAGTATTTTTGCTATTCGTCGACTTCGCTGCTCAGTTGTGTGAATGACGCCGTTGTTGGCCAAGGTGGCGAAGGGAATAAACCAACAAGTCACAAATCCCTGAACTCGGAGACGTTTTAATGGGTTTGCGGTCCCGTTCATACTGGTCGGAACTTTGGAATAAATGGTTGGGCTTCGCTAAGCTTCCTGAAGATAGTTTTCAAACAAAGGATTCACGATCGAGACTTAAGCAGATCCGATCCGTATAGTGTGAGATCAGCAACAAGTTCGATCGTGCGCCCGCAGTTTATTCGGATGGTGCGGCGGAGAAAAGGAACATTCAACGAATCAAATATTTTGCAAAATTTCAAGAGGAATATCGATTAATCGAACGATGGACTGTAACAGTAAGTTCTCAGTTCACTTCTCTTCTTCAAACACTAAGGATAACAGTTGGAAATTAGGTGCTCAGTCACACTCCTTCAATTCTGACTACTCAGACAATGAATCGTGATTTATCACACCAATGGAAGCACGAATCAGACAACTTGGCAAAACTGTT